AATCAATCAAGGGATACTACAGTGTAGAGTATAGTACTTGCAAACATTTCTCATAATGGGGTATTGTGTGTAGGTGGGTGAGAAATGTGGAACAAGTAAAAGGTTATGAATACTTTATGAAGGCACTGTATGTGGTTAAAAATAGACAGTGTGAAGTGTGAAGAACAGTGAGTTTCCTGACTTCACACCACTCTGATCACTACTCTCAAGTCACGACCATGGATCAGCTCAACATCTCCATCTCTAACATCACCTCGGTGAATCCTGGCAACATCGTCTCCAGTACACTGATGGGACTGTGCTGCCTAGTGGGCATCCCTGCAAATATAGCTGTCATCGTGGTCATTCTGCGCCAGGTAGAAATAGATAATGTCACCCTGAAACTCATGCTGAATCTGGCTTGTTCTGACATCCTGTGTCTGGCCTCCCTCCCTGTGTGGATCTACTCCCTCATGTGTGGTTGGAATCTTAGCCGTGGGCTCTGCAAGTTCTTATCCTTTATGGTCTATTGCAGCCTATATGTCAATATCATCAGTGTGACTATGATGAGTGTGCAGCGCTACGTGTCAGTTCTCTACCCTCATCAGTGGGCCAGGCTGGGAAGGAGAGGTGAGAAGTTATTGCTACTTGCACTATGGGGACTTGCATGCATCCTAACCGGGCCTGCTGTTGCGACAAGGAATATAGTGGTTACTGGTTCCGGTCTAAGATGTAAAAGACACACTGAATCGGACTGGGAAAGAGTGGCTGTTCTTTTATTTGAGACTTTGGTGGGTTTAGTTCTGGGTTCCATTCTGGTCACCTTTTATTTCTTCCTTCATCAAGCGAGTGAACCAGACAGCCCTCTTCAGCACCAAAAGGATGACCAGATTAGTCACTGGAATTACTGTGACCTTCATCATTTTCTGGGTTCCTGTTCATGTTGTTAACATTGTGGACATCTCAGCCACCTTGCTCAAGTATTCACACCCTGTTACATCTGCTAAACTAAAGACCTTTAAGGAGTTGACAGGGGACTTTGTTAAGTCTCTTACCTTTGTTAACAGTTGTGTGGACCCCTTTCTGTATGCGTTTGCCTTTCAGAGAATTTGGCAGAGAAGTCCAGAGAAGCAGGAGCGAGCAGACACTGCTATTCAGACCTCTGTGTAATATTTTGGTCAATCATTTATGCTTTTTTGTATTATTATTTTTTTATATATATTTGAGGTGTGCATGTAAATCAGAGGGAGGGGGGCACTACGGCTTTGAAGCAAAGAGGTTACCTATATTGTGGTAACATTTTTAAAAACTCTGATAGTAGAATGTAAACACTGTCAAAAGATTGCTTCATTATGATTGACAAAAGACCAACAATGTTGGTGAAAGCAGAAACAGAATGGAATCTCTATAAATTATGGTCACAAAGCAGCTTGAAGCCATCTTCAGTGTCTCCTTTCAAACCATGCAAACTTAGTCAGTGCTTAAATGCATCAAGGCAATGCGTGGATTCTATTGAAATAGTAAATGCAAAATTGAAAGCGAAATTATCAACTCACTTTGCAGGAAGCTGGAGATGGAGTAGGTGAGAAAAAATGTTATTGTTGTCAGTACATGCAACATGACAGTCAGTGACAAAGATAGAATACAGGTAGCTTAGTGGTTAAGAGCGTTGTGCCAGTAACCGAAAGGTCGCTGGTTCTAATCCCTGAGCCGACTAGGTGAAAAATTTGTCAATGTGCCCTTGAGCAAGGCACTTAACCCTAATTGCTCCTATAAGAGCGTCTGCTAAATGACAAAAAATGTAAAAAATGTAAATATAGAAACATACTTCATCTCCCTTACAATCCCTTACAGCCACCATCATCAAACATGAAACAAACAGGTATAATATAACTTCACACACATTACATCAACTTTCATAATTTTTATTCAGCCCTTTGGTTCCTAAAACCATAAAATGACCATAATTTTGAGAAAACGTGAAACATTGTCTGGGACATCTTCAAGTGGCACAGTCTTTGATACCCTTCATGGTATAGTGTGTTGATGTAGAAGGAGAAGGAAAAAAGCTCTGACTGTCAGGCCCAAACGCTTGAGACAGATTGGCCATAAAATATGCTTTTACTGCTGCCAGCAAAATACATACTCTGACTTTAATGCACAGTTAACTTTTATGAGTGTTCTTTAAGAGAAAACATTACACCTTTTACAGGGATGAGGAGGGGATGAGACCTTACTCAGTAAATATGAACGATAGTTCTGCTCTGCAGTTTTGAATTGAACTGTGAATTGATGAGTCCGGTCATAAAGTATCAAGTTAGTGTAACATATACAACCAGCATATTTGATTTTCCTATGAAATGTTTCTTCAATTGTTGCAGCATCAGAATGAGGTGTACAATAAATAACAGTGTATCATATTAATAAATTGCTCTCCACAAATGCTTGACTGCTACGGTCATTTCATACACCGGTCTGATTTAGATTGCAGACTATGTTCTCTGCTCTAACTAATAATAACTAAAGCATACATGTACTGTATGTATGATGGGCAGATTTCGCATGGTCTGAATATCATCCTTATTTGTGGACTTCCTTGCTTCAGAACACTCAACACTGAAACAACCTTACCTACAACCATGACCTTTTAAGTATGTATTTATCTTTTGCAAAGCTTGACTATCTATCAATCCCATTCTCCAGTCCAAGTGACGGAGCAGCTTTAGAACAGATTCTGAAGTAAATATAATGTATTGAGTCCTAGGCAGAAATATTTCCTCTGCTTTTCTCAGTGTCTAACCCTCCTTTTTATGTCAAATTATGTTATTTTCCAGCTCCAGCGGTGAGATTGGTATGACTGCAGCTGAGCTGACATGAGTGGGAGTTACTAGAGGTGGGATCCAATACAAAACACATACGCCCAGGCACAAATAGACACGCTTGAATAATCATGACATTTCTGTCGCAACTGCAGTCCAAAGAAAAATAAATACTTTACACCATGTTGCGATTATAAAGCCTTTTACAAATGTAGCTTATCTTCAATGATACAAGGCAAATAGTCTATAGTAGGGGTAATGCTCCTCAAAATTCAAACATGATGAACCTAAGCAAATAAATCAACAGGATGTCAATTTCCTGAAGTTTATTTTTGAAACTAGTATTGAGCTTACAAAATACCCTTGATAGAGTGACGGAACACATTGGTAAACATCACACACATTGAAAAAGTTAAATTCTGATTCACTAAACTGGATAGGCACACTCAAAAGGTCCGGAGTCTGCTGGTGTCCCAGGTTTAAATCAGTCCCTGATTAGATGGGAACAATGAAAAAACGCAGTGGAACTGGCTTGAGGTCCAGAGTTGCGTTTGAGGGTTCTAGCGTATTGTACTGATGTATACCGTGTTGGATTCAAGTGCACAGTCACTACTTCACCTTTCCATTGTAGTCTGCCCTTTCAGAGAGGCCCACATAAAAAAATACTGTAGTATAATATAGGTCTAAATAATGTAGTATTACTATATTTATATACACTTTAGTATTTACTGTAGTGTTTTTGCGGACATGACTGTAGTATTCACTGTGTTTTTGCAGACATGACTGTAGTATACTATAGTATTCACTGTAGTGTTTTCGCGGACATGACTGTAGTATACTGTAGTATTTACTGTAGTGTTTTTGCGGACATGACTGAAGCGTACTATGGTATTCACTGCAGTGTTTTTGCGGACATGACTGTCGTATACTACAGTCATGTCCGCAAACACACTACAGTATACTACAGTCATGTCTGCAAAACACCACTGTGAATACTACAGTCATGTCCGCAAAAACACTACAGTGAATACTATAGTATACTGCAGTTATGTCTGCTAAAACACTACAGTGAATACTATAGTATACTAGTCATGTCCGCAAAAAAATTACAGTAAATACTACAGTAAAGTCAGCAAAAACACAAAAGTGAATACAATAGTTTAAAAATATAGTAATACTACAGTATTTAGACCATAATATACTATAGTAATTTTTCATGTGGATTAGCTGTAAATGTGTAACATGTTTGATGTTTGAATTAGAAAATACATTTTAAACTTTTTGTTGTTATTCTCAACACATTTCTAAATGCATTGTATACACATTTGTGGTTGTATTGTATTTTTAAATAGTCAAATAAAATCAACCAATCAATCAAGGGATACTACAGTGTGGAGTATAGTACTTGCAAACATTTCCCATTATGGGGCATTGTGTGTAGGTGGGTGAGAAAAAAATCAATTGAATCAATTTTGAATTCAGGCTGTAACATAACAAAATGTGGAATGAGTCAAAGGTTATGAATACTTTATGTGGTATGTGGTTAAAAATAGACCGTGTGAAGAACAGTGAGTTTCCTGACTTCACACCACTCTGAAACTAGTATTGAGCTTACAAAATACCCTTGATAGAGTGACGGAACACATTGGTAAACATCACACACATTGAAAAAGTTAAATTCTGATTCACTAAACTGGATAGGCACACTCAAACCACGTGTAAACTCATCAACATAAACAACTTAATTAATCCATAATTTTAATAGAGTGAAGGAACTTAAATTACTGTATATTGACCACATTCACAAAAATACAGCGATCAGGGTTTCAGAAAGACCTGGACTTCCTAAGACTTAGACAAAAAGTGTGCACTGGGATGCAACTTTAGTTTTGCATATCATGCTATTGATTAATACAATCAACAATGTGGGCTGCCCCACAATGCTAATGCTATACAGAAAAGTCTACATGCAAGGATTTCAGGGGGTAACAGGAGTCCGTTTGTTTTTTGCAATGTTGGTAACAGTAGTAACAGTGTTAATAGGATCTGATACATCCTGTCCTAATATCTTGAAGCTAACAGAACAAGGAGGGTATTGCTGGTGGAACAACAGTCAGTGCTGCTGACTAATTTAGCATGTTGTTAGTGATTCGACAAAGTAAAGTAGCGGTGGATTCCTCTACTCTGCTGAATGGATTTAGTTTAGCTGACCGAGCAGGGGTCATCCTTGGAGGGCTTCACGTCTCCCTGAAGCAGTTGAATCATCACAGCCTTGGTCAGGTAACTGGAGGTGCCTCTCCTGCCCATCGGTGGTGTCTTATAGAACTCCTCCATATCATCCTGGGGACAATAATGTTTTTTCATTGCAAACTAGCAGTACTGTTATATACAGTGCAAACTGTCAAAAGTTGTCTAACAAACAATGCTTTTCAGCAACGACATGCAGAGTGAACAACTATTCAGATTGGAAATATCTGATTTGAATAACAAGTAAACACGTGACACAATTATTCCCATCCTTACCGATTAATGAATTAAGTCGAGACTGACCAGAATAATTAATCGCCAAAGCACACAAGATGTCCTCCCCTTGAATATGAGGTCTGCTTCTACTTAGCTGCTCTGAACCAGATCTAACTTGTACTGTACAACGTTGTGGACGTACAATAGCTAAGCTTGCATGCTGCATGAACTCCAAGGAGCTTGTGTGACAGTGGTCTGACCCTAACCTTAGATCCTGTGAGCCCAGTTGACAGGTTAGGGCAGAGCATAGCACCTACCTGTTTCTTCATCCCCTCCTGACTCCTGTCCTTCTGGAAGTCATGGAAGGCCTCCTTCACCAGAACGTCCAGGTCCACCTTCTCCAAGAACTCCAGCTCCGGGTTTCTCTCCAACACTATGGACACCACCATCAGCAGCTGCAACCATGGAGATTAGGAGCCATGAGAAAATGTGTGTACAATTAGGATTTTTGTATTGTAAACCCAATGTGTAGTGGAAAGGTTACTAGATGAAATGTGTGGGTAAGATAGTCAATGGAGCGTACTGTTTGACCAATAGCAGTGTACGAAAAACATGCAGCTGTAAATTAGTGAAATCTGATTGGCCCATACCTCTACTACTATCTGCCTGTACTCAGGCAGCACTATGTCCTTCAGTGTGTCTTCCACCAGCAGAGAAAAGTTCATCTCATACATGGTCATGTCAGACAGAGTAGGTTGCTGCAATGGAAGGAAAGTGGGAGATTTGAACAGTAATGCTTTAGGCAAGAACACCCCGATGACCAATTATTACCAAAAAGACTAACTCACATACTCAAATAAACAGAAATGTATTTAATAGTGGGTTATTGCGATGCAATGGGATCTGCTGTATTCAAATCATCATTTTGAATCAACTGCTGTGCCAAGCAGCCTACTGTACTTCAAATAGTATTTTGGGGCATTTGAACACTGTCAAAGGGGGCCTATAGTGTGGTCCTTCAGAGATGTGATTAAATGTGGAGTTTGAGGATGTAAATAAAGTAGGATTATTATGTCTCAACTGCAATAACCAACACTACCTGTGGTAGATGGATCCCTGCCACTACGATGCCATTACAAGTTCTCTCCAAAATTTGCCACACTCGGTCATAGAAGCCATGGGGTGTCCTGTTGAGGGAACCATCGATTTGACGCCTGTTGATCCAGGACCTGGGACGGGTAACGAACAGGGAAATGAATTAAATAGAATAAAAAAATGTGTGTGTGTGTGTGTGTGTCAAGGCTTGTGTTTGTGCCTGTGTTTACCTGCCATGCTGTTGTGGCTGAAGGACGTCCAGCAGCAGCTGTTTAACATCGCTGGGGGACATTTGGTAAATGTCCTGGGGTGGCATGTCACCTGCTCGGATCTCCAACTCATGCTTCATGGCCTGGACGATCCATCTACATCAATACCAGCAGAATACTAAGCAAAAACAATGCATCTCATAACCACAGATAGCTATCCTCAAACAGACAGATTGAGAGACAAACAGAATAACAACCACCCAGCTGTAGGATCAGAATGGCCATGGCTACAGCCTGCCTAGCTCTATTCCTCCAGGGCTCTATTCGTACCCGACGCGGATCTTGAGCATGCCGCTGAACAGCTCGGGGGTGTTGGAGATGATCCAGCCGATGTGGATGACCAGCTCCTGCTGCAGCACGGCCTCCCTCTCCCCGTAGCACTTGCTGTAGAGGATGCCCTTGATAACCCCAGGTGAGAGGGGGTTGGAGATCACCTCCTCCTCATGCCCAAACAGTCCCAGCGTTACCTGGCAACAGAGCACAGCCCAGCCAGCATCAGAGAAATGTCTGCAGTTCTGTTATTGTTTTGTGGGGATTATTTTACTAAGAGGACAGAGTGATGAACCAGAAAGGTAGAGGTGTTAACAAGGAGCAAATAGTCAAAATGATTGAAATAAAAACTTAGATTATATTTTATTTTCTATTATGGGTGACATCACTCAACCTATAAGCTTTTTGACAGACCAGATATTGTGCAATACTATATAGAAATTCTGATGTCTTCGGGTCCCCTTCGCTAGGGCGGCAGGTAGCTTAGTGGTTAAGAGCGTAGTGCCAGTAACCGAAAGGTCGCTGGTTCTAATCCCAGAGCCGACTAGGTGAAAAATCTGTCGATGTACCCTTGAGCAAGGCACTTAACCCTAATTGCTCCTGTAAGTCGCTCTGGATAAGAGCGTCTGCTAAATGACTAAAATGTAAATGTAAAACTATCTCTCCATCTCCCCACTGTAAAACTGCCTCTACGATGCAATTTATATGCAGATTCACACCTTGAGGTACTTCATAGTAATGAACCGCCCAAAACTCTTGGGTGGGAAAATGAGGCCAGAAATGGGTACTGCTAGGAAGCAACTAATCTCTGTGTAATATTTGAGAAAAAGTATAATGATAAAACATTGGCCAAGGCAGCTCACTTCATATAAATCCAAGGGAAAATGGAGCTTATATTAGGTTATAGGTCAGGTCACAGCATACATAGAGCCTGTTAATGCCAGGAATACACTTTTAGCAGGTTACTATACGAAACACAATAGCAGCCTTGCTACAGGGCTAAAGAACAGTGAGTTAGCTGGGAAATACGAAGCGTGCAACTGCAATAACACTAAGCATTTCATATAGGACAATAGCATGCAGAGCTCATTGTCAACTGAACGTTCCTAATACTTTCAAAATGGACATCATTTCATCCAATTCATTGATAATCAGTGAACATTAAGATTGTGTTCGAAATAGTCATCGGACTTGAAAAAAACGAACATGGTTCAACTTTTAAATTTGTCCTCATTTTCAAATGTCCACTTACCTGCTTGCCATGCACTAAAACACTAGTAATACTTGGGGCAATGCTGTCCACTAGCTTAGTTATCACACTGGCTGCGATTCGTACAACCCCCCTGGTGAACAAAAACACAAGGAGATCCTTAATAAGATCAACGCTATATGTGTCAATACGTTAACTCTACAGTAGGAGCAGTTCATAATGACAGTGCAATAACAATGTAGTCTGCTGTGTTCTCTATCATAAGAACCATACATACAGTATAACCATGAAATTAAGGCTGATGTGCTGTAACGTGATTTGAGGCACATTACTGAAGGTGCAATTAATGTAATGAAGTTCTAAAACAAAGGCAAGTGTGTGTGTGTGGGATGTCCCACTCATGTCCACCAGTGTGTCTATACAGTACAAAGAGCCTTGTTTTGCTGAGCAAATGAAAAACAACCTAAATCGACTCTGGTTTTCATCTCCAGATTGTCAAAATAAATGATCATCATTGCAATTCTGCACATGTAAAACCACATATCTACAAACTTCCCTTCCTGCAACTGAAGGACTTTTGTATAAATAACTAAAATGGCGGACTGATCAAATCACAAGATGCCGTCCCCATGGAATGGAAAGCAATTAGCATGGTGGGTGCTTCCCTCTGGGACATCTAGCCATAGCCCTAGCCTACCCTGGCAGAACAGGCAGTTGCTCCAAATGAAGATTTCACTGCATTAATTCAACTCTGACTCCTGCCATTGTTTCCCAACTCAGCCAATTCATTTTCACTATTAGATTAGGGGGGTGGGCAGACATAAATTTCACAAATTTACGATTGCATTATTCGCTAGAGTAACTGTGCAATACGTCTCCTCCTGCTTGCTGGGTTCCTGTGAGGAAAAAGCAACAGGCATTGGCTGTAGATATAGTACATACGCTCCCCTCTGTATTTATTTGGACAGTAAGCTAAAACAACATTTTGTCTCTATACTCCAGCATTTTGGATTTGAGATCAATGTTTTATATGAGGTGACAGTACAGAAAGTCTCCTTTTATGTGAGGGTATTTTCATAGAAATCAGTTTTCCCGTTTAGACATTTGTACAAATTCACTTACAGTGTATTTAAGCAGTTAAAAGTTTAGTATTTGGTCCCATATTCCTAGCATGTTATGACTACATCAAGCTTGTGACTCTACAAGCATTTGCAGTTTTTTGGGGTTGTGCTTTGGATTATGTTGTACCCAATATACAGTACCAGTCAAAAGTTTAGACACACCTACTCATTCCAGGGTTTTTCATTATTTTTTACTGTTTTCTACATTGGAATCATGTAGTAACCAAAAACTTGTTAAATAAATCAAAAATATATTTTATATTTGAGATTCTTCAAATAGCCACCCTTTGCCTTGATGACAGCTTTGCACACTATTGGCATTATCTCAACCAGCTTCATGAGGTAGTCACCTGGAATGTATTTCAATTAACAGGTGTGCCTTCTTAAAAGTTAATTTGTGGAATTCCTTTCCTTCTTAATGCGTTTGAGCCAATCAGTTGTGTTGTGACAAGGTAGGGGGGGGTTTACAGAAGATAGCCCTATTTGGTAAAAGACCAAGTCCATATTATGGCAAGAACAGCTCAAATAAGCAAAGAGAAACGACAGTCCATCATTAGTTTAAGATATGAAGGTCAGTCAATACGGAACATTTCAAGAACTTTGAAAGTCTCTTCAAGTGCAGTCGCAAAAAACATCAAGCGCTATGATGAAACTGTCTCTCATGAGGACCGCCACAGGAATGGAAGACCCAGAGTTACCTCTGCTGCAGAGGATAACTTCATTCGAGTTACCAGCCTCAGAAATTGCAGCCCAAATAAATGCTTCACAGAGTTCAAGTAACAGACACATCTCAACATCAACTGTTCAAAGGGGATTGTGTGAATCAGGCCTTCATGGTCGAATTACTGCAAAGAAACCACTACTAAAGGACACCAATAAGAAGAAGAGACCTGCTTTGGCCAAGAAACACGAGCAATGGACATTAGACAGGTGGAAATCTGTCCTTCGGTATGGATTCTAAATTTGAGATTTTTGGGTCGAACCTTGTGAGACGCGGTGTTGATGAACGGATGATCTCCGCATGTGTATTTCCCACCGTAAAGCATGGAGGAGGAGGTGTTATGGTGTGAGGGTGCTTTGCTGGTGACACTGTCAGTGATTTATTTAGAATTCAAGGTACACTTAAACAGCATGGCTACCACAGCATTCTACAGCGATACGCCATCCCATCTGGTTTGCGCTTTCTTGTTTACTACATGATTCCATATGTGTTATTTCATAGTTTTGATGTCTTCATTATTATTCCACAATGTAAACAATTGTAAAAATAAAGAACAGCCCTTGAATGAGTAGGTGTGTCCAAACTTTTGACTGGTAGTGTAAATTAATGGTAAATAATGTATTGTGTCATTTTGGAGTCATTTCTATTGTAAATAAGAATATAATATGTTTCTACATTAATATGGATGCTATCATGATTATGGTTAATCCTGAATGAATCGTGAATAATGATGAGTGAGAAAGTTACAGAGGCACAAATGTTTTTGGTAATGGTGAGAGGTTAGCATGTTGTGGGGGTATGATCTTTGTGCATCTGTAACTTTCTCACTATATGGGACCTTATACTAAACGTTTGACTACTTTAATACAGTATATGTGAATTTGTCCAAATACTTATGACCCCTTGAAATGGGAGGACTAGATAGAGCACATAGTGCTTTCACTTCTAAATGGTACGACAGATATGTATAAAATACCCTCAAATAAAAGGTGGCATTCTGTACTGTCGCCTCTTATAAAACATATTGATCTCACATCCAAAATTCTGGAGTATAGAGCCAAATTAAAAGTTCTAGCTTCACTGTCCAAATAAATACGGAGGGGAGTGTACATGGCAGCAGACAGGGTTGCTTAGCCATACACATCAACTTTTTAAAAAACGGTCTCAATAGCAGTCAAAATAAAAATCAGAAAATACAGTGCTTTAAACTTCAGGTGGATTGTAGGTTCTAGTAAAAACAAGATTTCCTAAAAAGGTGTACTTTCATCATTTTGACAATATTCACCTCCCATTTACCACTCAAATTCAGCCTTCTATCATTTTACTTATTGTAAATTGTGCTCATATTATTTTAGCACTGATATGGTCTATGGCTTATACTTCTACATATTTTGTCGAGGAAATGTCAGGCTAAATGCTCAAAGGGCATGTTGTGATGTTAAATCATTGATTTTGTGTAATGTAAAGGAACTTATTTCAAGCTCCACTTACTAACCTATGTTAAATAAATGAGAAAGGAAAGTGGACCAAGTATTGATATGGTTCCAGAGCAAGGTGGAGCCTGGCCTATGGGCTGTTCTACTCTCCGACTCTCAGGTCCCTCTGCAATTATGCTCAATCTTAGCGCTGAGCAATATGAAAACTCACAACCAGCTCCCCTGAAACAGCCGAACCATCACAACTACAACGGCAAGAGCAAAAAGGCCAACGGAGCATGTGAACGTGAAATTGATTGTCCATAGAGAGCAATTGGATAGTGCTGCAGAGGGAAGGAGTGAATGAGTGAAGCATAGCACTTACAGTTAATGGTACACGCTGTGCACAGTGACTGACTGGCAAACTGAGCTAATACAGTACACAAGCTACACAGACTCAACACATCAACTCTACTCCATTACCTGCTTGCCATGGACCACCAGTGTGGTGATATGAGGGGCTATAGAACTGGCAAACTTCATGATAACGGCCGCAGCGTAACGCACCGCCAGCCTACACCCATAGAAATGTGTATCATTGTTTACAACAGTTTGGAATTCAGTGGAGAAATTTACAATTTTGATGAAGACAGACATAGGAGAGAACAGGTAGAGTACAAGAGAAAATGTTACTTCAATCTTGAAACGACAGTAAAATTATCTGAAAGGCAAAAAAGTTAAAGGCTCTTCATAGAGGTACTGTAGAAAATGGATGGATATTACCTGCCACATAAAATGAAATACAAACTATTCTTTCAGGTTAAATGGAAAGGGAATGAATGATGTGCTAGAGAAAAAAGGAAATCTGACCAAAGCTTCCTGGTCCCAGCTCTTCTGTAAAGTCTCTCCATGTCTTCCATTAGGGTCTCTGGAAACAGTAAAAAAAAAAGAAGAAAAAAGTCCTCTAAGTGAACTGAGCAATGCAAATCACTGTATATATTCTAGAAATTATGTAAAACAAACAATGTAAACTGTAGATGATTGGGTCTGAAAACAGTGTTTGCCAAGACACTGCTATTCATGACACTAGCTGCATAGGCTATGCCTTGGTTGAATTGACCCCATTTCTTCTTTTTATTATTTCTAACACAGAGGAGATCCTGATCCAAACAAAATCAGTTAGTCATGGGGTGCTAAATGGATTAGGCTCTGGACATTTCATTTACAGTGATGCACTGATATCCACCCTGGGGCTTGTTGGCCTGGT